TTATAATTACATTTTTCTCCCCTTCCTTTCCCTTTCTCCAAACCCTTTCATATATCCTTCTTTGCTTTTTTTCAAATTCATGTTCTCTCTTTTCACTGTTGACAATACATATGTCAATATCATGTATTATATTATGTGCATTATTATGTAATTACAGACTGAATATTTGCACTTAATTGTATTTATATATTCATTAACACACACATAAACAGACCTTAACTCTATGCTAACATGGAGTTGAGAAAAGCCCAGGAGGCCTCAACCAGACACAAAGAACTACAAGTAACTAAAGACTGCTTAAAGCAAGTGAAACAGTCTTCACCTGGGAGGAGCACACCAGTTGTTTTGTTATCCAACACCAAAGGTCAGCCCTGAAAACAGACACACAAATAGCATTATACAGACACAGAGGATATGCAGAAAAAATGAAGTATTCTGCCCAAGATAGTTGGCAAATGGTCAACTCAAGATTTTAGCCAAGCACATCGGGATTTTACCCTCTGAACTGGACCAGTTTCACAAGAGTAGGTTCTTTTCTGACTGTGAATATATAAGTATAAGTAGATCTTGCAAGGCTGAGGTAAAGTTGACTTGAATAATTTATAGCAGGATGCAGGATATGGATAGTGTTCTTTGGTGCTGAGGGGATTGTAAGTAGTAAGATACGCAATGACAATTGGGCTGTCAATGGGGAAAAGACAGGAAATTTGTTCATGAGTGTGGGGACGGCCAATGCCTCATACTGAATGCTGCAGTGCAGGGTGGCTATGAGTGCTGAGTGGGAAAGGACAGGTTCAGGGAACACATACCAGATATCATCTGCTCTTTAAACTGCTGTAAAAGCAAAAATTAGTGATAGTCGGACATCCCCGACCTTAGGGAAATACAGCTACAAAGATAACATTCTCCCTTCTTCAAACGAATGTTACAAATAGAGGCAACTCAGAACAGGGTTTGATAGCCTACTCTGGCTGAAGGGGCTGGGGGCTTGAGGAGATGGTAAGGGGACACTAAGAGGGGGTGAAAATGTTGAAAATACATCTTATGGAATTTTCAAAGAATTAATAAAAATCGCAGGAAGAGCTGCTCTAAGTTGCCTGCAATGGAACAAAAGTTTACTAATTACAGTTCACTCTTGTGCGTCTCAGGGCTCAGAAACTGTGTGAAGTCAGTTACACATCCTCAGCTGGAAATTAACTGCATTCTTAATTTCAACATATGAATATTAGATTAGTTAATAAGCTAATTAGCATCTCTTTTCTTCTCAGTAATTTCTGAATGAGGATAAAACTAATAGAGTTGACCATACCACAAGCAATTAGGACTACATTAGAAAGAAAATGAGTGTGTGTGCACGAGTTTTAGCCAGACCTCTTAATACACACTTACAGCATTCTTCAGCAATCTCCGTGTTCAAAATGTTTTTTCTGCTAATGTTGAGTCTCGTAAGGAACAGGTTATGTGATGTTGGAAATTAGCTTTTCCTTGAAAAATTACAGCTAATGCCTTTTCTGCTAGGCATCTAATACCTGCAGTCTGTCACCGAATTTCTTCATGTCTGAATATTTGAGTGTGTGTACGTGTTTGAAGAGAAAGAGAGAGAAAGTGTCTGTGTTCATGAACACTGTTTGGATGAATGTATGTGAGAGCACCTATGGAGACCACAGACTGACAGTAGATATCTTCTGTACTCATTCTCTCCACTATATTGTTTTTAGACACAGTCTCTCACTTAAGTCCATCAATTCAGTAAAAACAACTTACCAGCAAATCCCAGGGATCCCCAGTTCTGGGGTTACAAGCAAGCATTGCCATGGCCAACTATCTATGTGTGTATCTTGCTGAGGATTGAACTCAGTTCTTTATTCTTGTCTGGCAAGCACGGTACCATCTCCCCTGACCCTCTATGGGACAATGACGATGTTAAATGAACAGTCACGGTCTTCTAACCACAGCTGTCGAAACTGTTTACTTTGTTCTGTAAGTTTGGTGTGACTGTGACTCTTTGAACCCGTGTGCCATATCATCCTTACCTTTACAGATAGATTGAACTGCACATTAAATATATATTTCCCCAGTTACTAAGATGTTAGTTATAAAACATTTCAGAGTAACACTTTGATATTTTGATGCATATTCTCTCATTTTTTAGATATTTAGACATTTGGATTTTCTCTTCCTGTCTTTCTCTGTACCAGTCAATGGGATGTGTCACACACAGCTCATCAAATGGTAGTTAGGCTGATGAAAAACGCACAAGAGAATGCAATAATCAGAAGGCTGTAGGGGTGGGAGGGCTGTGCCGATCCATGCCTGTAACGGCAGCATTTGGGTGGCTGAGGCATGATGGCTTCTGTATGTTTGAGGCCTCTGTGGGATTCCAAGTAAACTTCAGTCTAGCCCAAGCCTAAGCAGCAGAGTACAACTCTATTTCAAGTAAACGAAACCGAAGAAACAGTCTTATGCTCACTCTTCACATTGTCCTGACCAGGGTGAAAGAACAGGCCAGGGATCGGCATAGACCTGAGGTGACTTCGGCTCCCCATATGCACTCAGGGGACGCACACAGGCATTTGACATTCGGGTAGGAGCCTGGGGTATACTGATTTACTAGGTTGGATGTGAGGAATGAGTCCCCTTACGTTAGGTATGTGCTTAGCTTTAGCTGCCGAGTACTTTCCAGGAGGCGACAGCTTTATACACATTCTAAACACTGACATACATATTTGGTTCCCATTCGTTATTAAAAATCGGACAAGTGATTAATAACACAGATTGAAAAGCTGAAACTTCATCTTGTTCGCCACCAGCGGAAGGCTGGAGTCTGGATCCTATCCACTGCAGTTTGCGTTTCTAACGGCCCATACTTTCCGTGGTGACCTGGCTGTAGCTGGGTAGTTTGTTTATCTCTCTTCTGGAGGACTCAAGTAGGGAAAAGTGGAGTGCGCTCATGCCTGCGTCAGGCCATGTGACAGAAGCAGAGCGTGAAGCCAGGTCCTCAGGATGGCTGCTTCCATGCTTTACCACTGTAACAACCCACAAAAGAAAATACTTTAACTTCACCGACTCTGAGCTAAGAATGACAGGAGACAGGATGGGATGGGCTAACAGAATCCTGCCCTGCATATGATGGCTAATAGAATTTGACTATGTAATAAGAAACTAAACAAAAGTTAAAGATAATGAACTCTGAAAAATATATCCAGATAAATTGCTTTGTAGGAAAACCAACTCAACAACAGCAAAAAGACAGGAGTGCTTTATAGAATGCATTTATTCAGATATACTATTTTATTATTAATGATCTGAAGTGAATTTCAACAGTAATATAAACTGATTGTCTTGAACACTAATTAAATATGTGTTAAATTCTGTTTCACTTAATTTTCCATGAAAGATAAAAGTCAAATTTGGGCTTATCCAATAAAGGGTTATCAAATAAAGGAGTATTTCCATTTATGCAATATGTTTTCATGGTCACAGTAGCTACATAAACTGGTTTATTAAAAATGGCTGCTTAAATGCAATATTTAAAGTATACACGCTAATGCTAGCAAAAAGAAAGATATACTCAAAGTCCCCAACTTAAATGTGTGTCTTGTCCAGTAGACGCAGCTGTGAAGAAAGCCCGGATTTCAAGAGCAGAGCTGAGCGTGTACTTTAAACCAGCACCAGCAGCAGGCTGTAATCCTGGGGAAGAAGCAAATTCCACAAATAAACAGACCAATTTTCCTTTAAGAGGAGAGCTAATTCTTTTCAATCTACTTTTTTTATTACACTATTTCCCCCTCTATCTACTTAGCTAGTATGAGGATAAATTTCCAAAGCTGCCTGGATGGAAAATAAATAGATTCACTGTTTGTCTAGAATTCCAATCTTTACAAATGTAAATCAGTCCAAGTGCCCCTCAGTTAAACCTTCAACTTTACAGAGCATTGAAGGGTGGCTTCCACTATACAATTTAATCCCTCCACTAAGATTTCTGCCAGAGCATCCTTCTAAATTGACTATCTGATAAAGAATAACTTCCACCAAAGGTCACAGGGGTCAACCTGTACCATTACAAAGAGCTGTTCTCAGTCAGCTCTACCGAAGGCTGCTGTTTGAAGGTTAAATTGTTACAATTAAATATATACATATACATATACATATATACAGATATGTATACAAATCTCCCAGTTACTTTATTGTTAAATGTGCAGGAAAGAGCACAAGCATTTATTTCTGACCTTAATTGTGTCCATAGTGTCACCCAACTGGGAAACTATATAAAAAGAGCACTTGTTGAGAACATTCCAGTCTTGCACTTTAAACAACGCTTCATAAACTAAAATGCATAATTAGCTCCTGGGAGCTGGTTTTATTTATCGCATCAATATTCAGAAGTTCCTCCAGGTTGCTCTGTTGGGTTTAATAGGAAGCATTCCAAGAAGTGACATCTACTATTTCATAGCTGGGAGATTCGCCACAGAGGAAGATAGCTCAGGCTTAAACTCACACCTTTCTCTGGACAGCAGGCATTTCCAAAGTACTAAACTTCAGCCACCTTTTAATAACAGAGTTGAAGGGGGCCTGAAATAGAAAATGTTAAAGTGGGCAATTTCTGAATTCTTCGGATCACCGTAGTGCCTTTTATGGTTTTTATTAAGTGGACAAAGGGCCAATATAAGATCATTCATGATCATGACCAGTAAGAATTGACACCATTTTTAATTTTACTTTTAAAAGGGTGTGTTTGGAGCATGTGTTTTCTCCTCACCAATGTGGTAAGGAAAAAAAAAAAAAAAAGGAGAAGAGGGAGGAAATAAGGAATATCATTTGGTGCCCAAAATGTTTACCTTGCTGATCTTACAATATTTATAGATGAAGATGAATTTTAAATGTGTGAAAGCACTAGTAAGCGAAATAAAACAATTTTAACTTTTATAATGAAAGTAATTTCCCAAAAGAGTCTTTTGGATTTCAGGAGTCTTAACACACTTTATTTTTTATACTTTCAGATTTTGTGTTGGAGACAAGTTTTTCTTGAAGAATAATATGATCCTCTGCCAGACAGACTATGAGGAAGGCCTAATGAAAGAAGGTTATGCACCCCAAGTCCGCTGAGCCATCAATATCATCCCCAACAACACAAAGCACTACATTCTTTTATCTTTTTTGCTCACATGTATATAAGAATTGACACAGGAACCCACTAAATAGGCAGCAGGATGGCCACCTGGAATAAAAGGCGGACTGCATCTGTATGTAGTGAAATTGCCCCAGTTCAAGAGTTGAATGTTCATTATTAAAAAAAAGAAAAGTAATGTATATATTGCTGGATTTTTTTGCTTGCTACTCGTTTTTTTTGTGTCACTTGGCATGAGATGTTTATTTTGGACTATTGTATATAATGTATTGGAATATCTGAAGCACAAATGTAATACAGTTTTATTGTGTTACCATTTGTGTTTTGTTTGCTCCTTTGTATTGTTGCATTTAGTACAATCAGTGTTTAAACTTACTGTATATTTATGCTTTCTGTGTCTACCAGCTATTTTCAATGAGCTGTACCTTTCTAGTAAGAACTGAAGAGCAAACCTCACAGATGACACACAGATAAAGCAAGACTATCAACATAAGAATACCACAATAAATAAACACACACACACACACACACACACACACGAAGCAGTTAGTGACATCCACTTGTTATGGCTACTACAGTTTGGTGTATCCATGTTTTCATGATAACCCCTATTTTCAGGGGGCTAAAGATCAGCTTTAAAAAACGATAAAGATTTCATCTTCAAGCACTTTCATTTTATACCAACATGAAAAGTGCCATTTTTAGAATGACTTTAAGGCTTAGTGATGTCCTTTTAATATTCTTTAATATGCTCTTTACCTTCACTATAGATTTATTCTACTTTTTTTTTCCCAACCACACACCCTATGTGAACTAGTGCCTTTGGGTAGCATGTAAACAATTTCCAAAGGGTTACTCTAAATGAGAAAGGTATTACCACAATTATGTCATAATTTAAAAATTTTCAATTTCTTGTATAAATTCTGTGCAGATTTCTCCCTAGGAGATGAGGGCTTTACATCTTATGGTTCATGAACTGATGGCACTGAACAGATTTGAGTGTGAATCTATTGAAATTAGTGTGACACACTAAGACTATGGCAGAACAGTCGGATAGTGATCTGCTTCATAGGTACAGAAACATACAGAAAATAAAAGGATTGGTAGAAAGTTGAGAACTGTTTGGTGGTTACATATTTCAACTGCCATACTTTAATGTTCAAAACACTTCAAATTTGGTATGTCGCACTTTCTCAGCCCCTCTTGTTCTTTGCCATCTTCCAACCCAGATTATGTAACGTTGGGCTTCTCTCTATCATTCCAGTTCTGTTTTGTTGTTTTGTTTTGTTTGTTTGGTTTTTATTTGTTTTGTTTAAATGGTGAAGTGTTTTCCCCTTATTTAAATAATAGCTGATGAAGAAGAATGTTCTAGAAACAGAAACTGTGGAAAATGATTACTTAAATTGCAATTAAGAAAATAAAAATAAGAATATGGTTCCCTCTTCTGCTCACACTTTGTTTGGTTGATTTTTCGTTCTGCAGTGAGACCAGTTCACCACAAATACACTCCATACAGGCACCATGAACCATATTTATTTCCAAGCACAACTCCACACTGTGGGCTTTCTTATTTTGTTCTTCATCACTTGTACAGGAAATGTCTCCCACTGTTATTTGTATTACATATTTTTCCTGCCAGTTTCTACATTACAGATGGCGATTAAATGTTATACCTACATTCTTGGTCTGGGGCCAAAATTTTAAGCTGAAAACAATGCTGGTGTGGCTTCGTGTCATTTTGAAACAAAAGTTTATTAGGAAAATGTATGAGCATCTGAATATTGCTTCTTGTGGGAAAAATGGTTCCATACAAATGGATAATAGGCATATTTTGCAAATGTTTCACTGTTAAGAGTTTGAAAGTCCCACCTGCCCCAAATTTGAGGCAGAATGAAGAAATACAAAACTCTCCGTTTGCTGTTCACAAGGTGATTCTTATTTCACTTTCAGACCCACAAATTTGTTTTGTAAGGAGATAAGACAGGTTTAGCTTAAAACACACAAAGCAAAAATTGGAAAAGAAGCAGCAGAAGCCAGAGAAGAAGGAATCGGGAAGGAAAGGGGGACACAAGCAAGAAGTAGTTTTCCTAACACAGCCCTGCTGGCTCCTGTTAGCAGTTGTTTTACGTTTGTAGAAAGTTTGTCCACATACTTTTCAAATGCTCCTCAGTCTTTCCCTTTGAAATGGGTTTTTTGTATTATCTGTAACAGGCCAAAATTTAAGTCAGCAGAGAACAACCTTGTCTTCCTTTCTGAAAGCCGTTCACACTATCCTTGCCTTCCCAAAATCCTTTTGCTTAACCCTGGGGGTAAGTGCTCACCTGGATTAAAGGTTAAGGCCTTAATCTCTTTACATTATCTCTAATCGCCACGAAATTGTGAACCAAGGCAAGGGTTATTTTCCAGCTGCAAGCTGTTTTCCAACTAATTGGCCACACATAGTAGCATCTTTGATGTTTTTGACCTGCAGCGTTAAGCTGATTGTCCTGAGGACTTGGAGCCCCTGACTTTTCTCAGCGTTGTGAGGCCCTCCTCTCATGGTATGTGATGCTCTGGCGGGGCACCGACACAGAGTTTCAGTTTCTCCCCTCACCCCCACCCCCGGGGAAGCTCTCCTCCTAGCAGACATACCTGCAGGCTGCTTATAATGAGGGACCAGGCAACCCCCATCCCATCCAAGCTGAGCTTAACAGCAGACCTGCGTTTGTAATGTCACTTTCCTCTTGCTTAATAAATATCTGGACTCATTTACTCATTCATATTTTCAGGAGGAAGGGCACTCCACTATTGGATTTTACTCAGTTGACAAAGTCAAAGATGGGCAGACAAAAACATGCACTGGCCACAAGAAAATGAAAATTTCCCTTTCTATAGCTAAATTCCAACATGCATGGTGAAGCTACACCAGCTGTTCCTTCCAGTGAGAATGCCGCAGATCCCTGTAGTAGGAGGTTCCCTGGTATTTTACTTTTGTGAGAAAAATAAATAAATAAAATTGTCCAAGATGAAGGCAGAAATTGCTGGCTATGATTTTTGTGCATTCCCATAGGTTTTAAGTGATCTTGCTAAGTGCGATATGTTCCTGGCAGCAGACTAAATTTCAAATTTTCTATAAAACGGATTAAGGCAAAGACCCCAACTAAACACTATGTTTTCAAGAAAGACACGTGGTGCCTTAATTGAAACAGGGAGGTGAAAATGGAATCTCTGGTAAAACATACCATCCACAAACAGTCTTGTTTTAACTATCACTTTAGGCAGATTGCTCTTGAATCGTCACTTAAACCATTTCACAGAAATGATTCAGGCCAAACATGTTTAGCATTCACTTCAGTGAGTTGCAGAAACAATCTGCATGTTTATTGTAATAGGCCATTAACACAGAATACAATTTAAGCAAAATCCTTCTGATCATTACTTTTTCTTTGAAAATGCCATTATACAGTTTTTTAATGTGATTTCCAACTCGATTCAAGGTAATAAGAGACAAATGATTGACATAGTCCCTATTTCAGTTGGACTTTATGGAATACCTACCATGTATCAGGCCTTGCCCTGTGTCCTTTGCTGCCTACGGACACATGGAGACAGACCTCATGTGTCCAGTCCTTTAAACATATCTTTTCAAGCGTTGGCATTCATCTTAAACTCACCCGTAATGAGCATACAAATATGAACATCATCTTCTCACGACTCAGCATGTCATTGGTGTGAAAGCCTCAGAAAATATCTCAAGTAATCGATGCGTTCAGAGAATTATCTCACCCAAATTACTCATTAACTCAACAGCACACAATAAAAAAAGAACATCAATTAATTAATGAGTCACCCTCAGATTGCTTTGATTACTACTGAGCTTGGTTGAAACAGCCGTTATGAATAGAGCTATCTCTCCTTATTCATTGTTTGCAACTGGGCCATTATTTGGCTGAAACCAGTTTCATATTTAACACATGCCCGTAGGTAATTGTGTGATTAGTATCGTAAATGAAGAACTAAGAGAGCCTGCTTCTTGCAAGACCTGGGAAAAATAAAGAACACTCATTTTCATTGCTGCTTTCTTTAAAGCCAACCTCTTAGAGGGCTGTTATCTTTCTAAAAATGCACTTTTGCATTTATAATGAATATTTAGGGCACGGTGTCTGTGCTAGATCTTAAGACATTTACAGGTGAGTCTTACAGTGCATTCGCATATATAAGATTTAATTTCAATAATAGCCCCATACGACTAATATATGCATGGACAATGCCAGGTTTAAAAATGCTTACCTCCCCCCAAAGGACACTTGTGCTTCTCCTGAGATGGTCAGGGTGGATTCTTAGTAAAAAAAATAAAAATAAAAATAATAACAATAATAAAAACCAATCAAGAGAAGGATTTTTAAAAAGAATAACCAACCAAATATGCTACAAAGTCACAAACGAAACTTTCTCAGGCATCGTGGTAAATGCCATTCCAGCATGCTTACAGAATAATTACAACAGTTCCCCTAGGTAAGTGAGAAACATCTGTTGGTAACACAGAGCAGGTGTTAACAGTTACACATACTGAACTTTTAAAAAATGTTTTTAATTAAAAGAATCTTGTTTTGTGAAAAGAGACAAAAATGTGTTAAATTCAAAGATACCCCTGTATTCAGCATCCAGATCACATTATGCACAAACTGGAAGGCCCGAGTTATCCTGCATCATCTTTGTTCCCTATTTGGCTCAGATCCTTGCGATCAGAACTGAACTATAATTCATCGCACTTTTGTACACAGTTGGTATCCTGGTCCAAGGAGCTATGTACTCATGAAATTGGCACAGCAGAACTGGTAAAAGGATATTTGGGTTTTATGGGCAAGGTAGCTGCCATTAGCCAAACCAGATTGAGTGGGCACAGTACAAAGAAGAGAGGAGCCAGAGACATCAGAAAACACGGAACAAGTCCATTTATGTTATGGAACATTGTCTTATGATGCCACTTGAAGAGCTCTTAATAACCACAGCAACAATTACTGAGCAAGCTGCGTGAACCGGATGGCTGCCTGCCACCTCCGGCTGTGTGACATAAATACTATGGTGATAGCTTTAATGACTTTTTAATATTTATTCATTTGTAATAATGAGATTGGTTCTTTCTGTGTTACCCAGGCATGCAGGTACTTGGGGCCACGCCTAGATTTTCTCAGGGTCAAGTAAGAAGATGAGGCAGAGGTCCTAATTAGAGGCCCTGAGGCTTATACCCAGAGTTTCTGCAGGCTGACCTTGCTCCTATCTTCACTTTCTGGATGAAGGTGGCTATCTTATTATTGTCATTATTTTTTTGCATCCTCTACGAGTAAGCAAGAGCTCGCAAGTAGTGTCCATGCATGAGCAAAATTTTCAGACATTCCAGAGTTAGTGTTGTCATTAGAGAAAAAAAAAAAAAAAAAGGAGACCTTAGGCTAGAGCTCAGTTGGTAGAGAGCGTGAGTAGCATGCACGAAGTTCTAGGATCAATCATCAGAACTGTATAAATTGGCCATGGTGCAACAGAC